GTTTCATCGGGGTATCCAAACACCTCGAAACAATAAATGCACTCGGCCTATGGCCTCGTGCTTTCATTTGTTTCTCGGTGTTTGGATACCCCGATGAAACACTCGCTCTCGTTTTGGAAATAGTACATAGTGTTATTTTCATTAGACTATCGAGTGCTAACCTTAAACAGGGCTATTCAGGCTAATCAGAGTGAAAGTCTATACTCTGTTTAGCCTGAATAGTGTACTGGTTAGCCTGAATATATTACTCTGGTTAACCTGAAATGACATCACTCAGGTCAGCTCGAATAATGCTCTGGTTAGCATGTTTACAGTTAGCTCTCACTGATGGAAACAGTAACAAGATTCAGTTAAAAAGTCTGCAGTTTGCAGTCTGCAGTCTGCATTTTTCTCTCACTCTGCATTTTATCCCAGACCCAGGTTGTTCAAAAGGTGTATAATGCTATCCAACGGATAAATCACTATCCAGAGGATAACATGGTTTGTTTTCTTAACACTTAATGTTATAGCAATATCCAGACTTCAAACAACTGGGACCAGGGGCCTGTTTCTCGAAAGCCCTGGAAACTTTTCGGGCCCACAAAACCATTTTTATTAAATTGGTGTTTAAAGACAGAGGTGTATACGCCTGAAACTTCTTGTATGAAGAGAACCTCTGTTTATATTAAGAATATGTGCATAAAACTGCTCTGAAGTCATAAGGTTTGAGATTTTGCTACAGCTTTTCAGGTGCGAAAACTTTTCGGGACCTTCGAGAAACGGGCCCCAGGTCTGCATTCTTCAGTCTACATTTTACACTCAAACATATTCGCGTTTTAGTCCAAGGATGTGTTTTCTGAAACATAAACTTATAACCAGTACCATTACCTTCTAATGAATCAGTCACTTTCAAACTTCAACATTCCCCGGGAATTGAGACCGGGGTATGTCCAGTGAGGGGGGGCGAAGGTTGTCAATGTTTCTACTTGACCGACACATAATTCAGCCCTCTTTAAGTTTACATTGACTTTTCCTTTCTTGCACTGGTTTGAAATCGTGTTTACTTCAAGTAAAAGCTGTCACAGGCCTTTCTTCAGCTAGGCTTAAGGTCTAAGTTAACGTTGCAAGTGTTACATGTACATCAACTCATGGACTTATCCATGATCACCAATGAAGGTCTTCTATTAAGTTATTACTTACCGTGTCTCCTCGTATTATTTTCCATTCTTTCAACGGCACTATTGGTTGGCGCTTGCTTCCACGACGTGGACGAGGAAAACGGCGTGGCATAACACCAAAACCGAACGGGTTCCAAAGCTTGGAAGGCCGGGGCACCTTACGAACCGCCTCTTTAAAATTCGTCGCCATTTTGAAAGACACTACTGAGAAGACCCTGGGGACGATAGAATTGCACTCGTCCCCATGCCCAGGGCTGCCTATCCCTCTTAGACGGCCGGTGGGGGAATGAAACGAATTCAAGAAAAGGTGGCTCTGGAGACACATGGTTTGATTGACTTGGACTATAACTAAATCAAAGCTTGATTTCGCCTGAAAATAACATCCGATTGATCTCTACATAAAACTGCTCCATTATGGCACCTACGGACCCTCAAGGGAGAATTTTCTGTTCAAGTCCCTCTGCCTTGACAAAACGTGCGAATGCCACTTCCAGCCAGAATTTTAGTTCCGTTTTAAATCTGTTAAGATTCTTAAGTTGCTCTAGTCAAACAGTCTTAGTTATCAACCAGTGCGTTTTCTGGGACAAAAACAAGCCTCGATTCCCTTGAACCAAATTAGTGAATATTTTAGTTAAAAATCTATTAGTGCCAGGAGCAGTCATCGCAGCTTCGACTATGAAGACCTAAGAGGGACATCTAAAAACTCAGTCTCAATCTCTCTATACCCTAACTAGTAAAAACACAGCAGTGAGTTAAGGAGAGCTTATCACCCAGCCCATGTTACACACTGTTGTCACACAATCAAACTGTTGTATGAGAAATGACCAGAACTTTCAGTTGAGCATTTCAAAAGTTGTACCCTGTGAGCAGAGGTCCCTTCAATCTTCCTATCGAAGGGACCTCTGCTCATAGGGTATAATTATCAAAACAACCAGGTGATTTTCCTTTTTTATTCTCATGGTGTTTTCTAAAATAAATAGAAAACATTTTCTCTATGTTTCATCAAGTTATAACAACACTCATCAAAGTTTTGGAGAACTCCTGAAAAGCTGTGGAAACATTTAACTGCAGCTCATGTTCCCACAGCATTTCTTCCACCCATATTCCTTAAACTAGATAGAAGAACAGAAAATGTTTTCTACTTCATAAATAAAGGCCACATGTTTACACTGTACCTTCTATATGTACTATTTATTCAACTTCTACTGATGAAAAGATGTACATTAACAACTGATCTGCAACATTGTCTTTACATACACATTACGTGTACAAAATATTGAATTATAGCATTATAAGAAAGATTAATATTGTACTCCAATGTCTCTTTTTTTCCTGGATTGACCTATAGGCAGGCAACAACAGAAAGGGGAAAGGAGGAAAGTACTGAAGAACATTTTCCTAAAATTGAACCCTAAGTGAAACTCACAAACGAAGGAAAACCAAGCAGGTTGGTGTTAGACTATTAACCATTGCTCAAATTATAATTTTCAAAGTTCTGTTACTGAAAAATTGTTTGGCACATTTTGCAACTTAAAAGAACACTTTCAAGTCAACCTTTTATCCACATTTCATAATCTACATAATTACACACTTTTTTTTAACAGTCATTATTATAATGCAAAGTTATTGGATATGAAAAACTGGATACAAGCAAAGTGTCCCTTGTGTTTGCATTTTCTGAATCTCCAAGGCCGGGGTCTAAGAAAAACTATGAGGAACCGAAAGAGACCATGAAATCCTGGGTGCCCAGCACTTAAGCTTATGTGAAAAAAGTAAGTTTTTCCAGTCACCCAAAGTTTGTCACCTGTGGCACCCAGGTTCCTCTAGTGCACATCCCTGGTCTCTTAAATTTTATTGCAGTGTCAATACTACTTATTTTCCCCCTTCTTCAGTTCCTGCAACATAAAAGGGTGTACATCACCCACTTAGATTATCTGAAACCACTCCCAGTACAGAGTAAATACTGTTACTACACAATAAACAACAGAATTTAGCACATGGAATGAAGTCTTCTACTGCTGCAATTGTCCAAAAGGCATGATTTATCCATGAGAGAGCTCAGTGTGCAGTTGTGTTTCACAAGATTCATACAAATGAAGAATGTACAAGTACCAAAAGTTCTCTTCGGTTGGAAAATCCAGAAAACAAAATTAATGTAAGTTAAGGTTATTTCTTTGCGCCTCCTTCAGCAGCTTGTTTTTCTGCAGCTTTTTTCTGTTTTTCCCTCATCATAGCTGCATCCCTAAACAGAATAAGAGAAACAATACCTTAGTGAGAGTCAGAAAAATGATAAGCTTTGTGGTCTAAGTTGGAGAATGGATTGGAAGAAGGATGGTTTGTATTTAAATCTACTTAAGCCTGTGGAAAGATACTAAAGAGGCTTCTCAGTATTTTATTAGTGAAATTTAAGTTTCATAACTTGTAATTTGTGATAATCAGTATTGACATAAATTAATATTTTGCCGACACGGAACAGAGAACTGGGTACTAGCTTAGTACACAAAGGCTCATGGTTAGTACATTTGTAAAACAAAAGATGGTTGAGAAACTTGCGACATTCCACAGTCAGCTTTGCCACTAGCACTTTCGCAAAAGGTTTATTTTATTGTATAAATAACATTATCTGTTTTATCTTTCATTCTGTTGTTTATATATCAACCTTAAAACCCCAAAGGTGGTGCCACTGCATTTGGTCAGGGGTACACTGTCCCTATTATTTTTTCCTAATAAGAGGACCTGGCTGACCAACGTGCCCATGACTCAACCTTTGGGTGTGTTCTGCTGTGTAGTAAAGGCAAAATTACTAATTTTTCCTGAGGGGTTGAAAGTTATAGTTCAATTTGTTTATGGCAGGAATTATTATAAGCCACTAACATACTAAAATTGGATTCTGATTAGCTTCTGGATTAGCTCTATACAACAAGCTAGTCGTGGTTCAACTATGATGGCAAATATATTCATCTTTTAGCAAAGGGCTTTCCTTAAGTACTGTAGGCAGCAAGGTAATTGGCCAGATGTGAGGCCAGTTTGCCTGCCTAGTTTCACTATATGGGGGAAAGTGCTTCTTATAAAGACGTTTACTTAAAAAAAGTTTTGCCTGTTTGTGAAAAACAATAATTTATTGTTCCCTATCGAACACATTTATGAAACACCTGCTAACGCAATACTCAATTAATATTAGACAATCAAAATTCATTGGAAATGAAACTAAGTATTTCAAAGGGACCAGTCATTATATTGAACAATTTGTTATACAGTACAGCATAATGATGAAAGTCCAATCCATGAGGTCAGTTTTTCTTCTAATTACTTCACAATCTGAAGTCCATGATCTCTTCAAAATGTTTTGTGCCTATATAGCAGTTTCAGAAATCATTTGGCTGCATGTCTTCAGAGCAATTTTTGTGTGCTGTTTGTGTGTGAGCCTGATATTTGGCCTTGGGATTCTTTGATAAAATTTTTCACACCTTTCTTTTCTTTCCTTCAGTGCTACTCCACTTTCACCTCCTTTCTTCTTTGCCTGTTCTTGTTGTTTCTTCAGATTTTTTGCACGAGCCAACTCACGCTGGTTTCCACCTGACAAGAAGTTAATGGAAAAAGTTTCATATTTTGCAGACACAATGTATATTAAACTCCTGCTATATTTTCAGTTTGCCAAAAACAAAATCATGATTTCATCCTGTGTTTTTTACCAGTAATTTCTCTTCCTATGCAGGACAACAGTATCTTCAATGTCAATGTCTGTCATGTTTGGAATCCACAACCGTTAACTGTTTAAATTGATTGACAGAAAACGAGGTAGACAAGGTAATAGGCCCTTTGCAGCTGGGGTCACGTGACCAAAGTTTTCCTATTATGGGCTATAACTTAAAGAATGCCAGAAATGGAAAGAGCGCATCGAAAATACCAAAATAGCCAAGTTTGAGGCCCCTGGAATTAAAGAG